TTTATTTACTTAATTCTAAATTCCCAATAGAATAAGTTTGTGAATTCGTGCTTCTTCCGACGCGGATTTCATTTTCTCTCTATGGGTCAAATCGGGTTCCACCAATGGTTTCAGAAGCGTAGCTAAAGGTTTGATATTCTACGGCATTGAATCCTTGCAGGTCTGAAAGGGCGATCAGAAAATATAGGGTGGTAACCAGATACAGGGGTTGTTCGACCTCTGATCTCTCATTTTGTTCTACATTTTTAACCAGGAATATTCTTGGAGATTTCTAATAGAATGGTTGCTGATGTCACACGTGAATGGGCTTTTTTCATTATAAAAGGGTAGGTTCAAGATTTTTGAAAAATATAACGGTTACTGATGTTACACGTGAATGGTTTATGACAGAATGTTAATGGAAAAGAAGGTTTTAGGCAATTGTCAGAAACAATAAGGCAGTGGAAGACAATAATTAAACAGTAAGGATATAATTAGTCAATTAACTAAACAATAAGGATAGTTTAAGAAATTTGCCCTAAAATATAAAATAAAAAGTAACAAAAAAAACCATATCATTATTACCTACTATTTGTATAAAATACTTCATAATATCTAACTCAAATGAATTCAAGCCAGGCCAAGCCCATCCTATGCTCTGTCAAACTCATTTAGCCAAACAAACTTCGATAAAGGCTCGAGCTCTGCTTTTTTTATATTTATTTTATTTATGATACTCAAAAACAAAATCCAATGCTAAACAAAGGTAATAGATACAAAACAAAAAAAGGAAAAAAGAAAAGAAAAAAAGCTACCACTGCTCAGTTCAAGCTCTGTTAAAGAATTTATTGATGGAGATGAAATCCATTTTGCACTACTAATTCTCTACGGTAGCCCTAACTTGGATAGGCCATATTTTGACTTGGCAAGTATCATGGTGCCTTGATAATTGATAGCCACCTTTGTTTTTTCTGTGGGTTAAGGCTTTTTTTGTGATCTCGCTCGATGTTTTAAAGTTGGGAATTTTTGATATTTTGGATACTTGGTTAGTTTTTTTTTGTTACAGTTTAAATTTTTATTTTTAATATTATACATAAAATTCTGGACGAAATTTTGTGTGAAACAAGTCCACCCATTGGTTTTGTTTAATATTTTTGCTTGTTTATGGCTATGTACTGATTTACAAATTTCAACCAACACTTAAAACCATGTCAATCGCCAACTCAAGGTTCTAATATAATTCCAGTACAAATTGACATTTTCCAAAAAGGGATTATTGGGTTAGGCAGGCCAATTGGAGCTAATAGGTAAAATTATTCAAACCAAGATAGTCCAACCCAAATGAAAATGCTGGCTCTGGCTCAGACAAGATTGCGGAGCAGGTTGGGTCTAGGTTCTGAGCTCCTGGTATAGGCTTGTTCTAGGTCTCCTTAAATGGCGGAATGAGCTGGAGCAAGAATTCGTGCATGTAGACTCGTGACCAGATGGGGATTGGGGATTGGGGAGGAACCCTACTCCATGTCTCCATGCATCCACAAAGTCGGGGACTTGTTCAAGCACAACCACGGAACTGGCTAGTCAAGCTTACGGCTTATTCCTCTCCCCGCCCAAAATTTCCTTATTCCTATCATCCTAGCAAGCCCTAGGGGTGTCCACGGTTCGGTTAATCGAACCATAGCCCCTTTTGTAAATCAAATCGGTGGTAACGGTTTTTTCATTTTGTTAAACCAAAATCGAACCGGTATCACTAGTTAATCGGTTCGTTGGTTTCAGTTTTTGATCAGTTTGGTTCTTCGGCTCTTCAATTTTTTGGTTTTTTATATTTATAATATATATTATATAAATATGTGTATAATATTATATTATAAATAATAAATGATATATAATATATTATAAATATTTTAAAAATATATAATATATTTGTAAATAGATCATTATAAATACAATATAAGTATATATTTCTATATAATGAATATATATATTTATATAAAATACATAAAAAATATGTGACATATATTAAAAAATATATATATAAAATATACATATAAATATATATACCGGTCGATTCAGTTAACCGTCGGTTTTTTTATAGGTTAACCGAAAATCGTACCGGTCCTTCGGTTTTTCAAAAATTCCAAACTGAAACCAAACCAACTGATTCGGTTAATCACATTTTGCAGTTAGATTCAGTTTTTCGGTTTTTCATGGACACCCCTAGCAAGCGCCAACCTCGCTTTTTTGGATTGCAGTTGCACAGAGAAGCCCCTCGGCCCTCGCTCGACGTTCTGACTTGTGTGGGAGTCATGTCCAGTCCAACACGGCGCACGAAATGCAATTTGGTGCGTCTTGGTACAACAGCCAACAGGGGAGGAAGGACACAGAGCACTAGCTATATTTGTCTGGTCTGGGGGTAGTGCTAGTGCGACCCCATAAATGATAAATCTTCCGATAATATTGCTCGGGCGATTTTAGGTAGAGAGCAGGAGACATTCCATATCCCATCCCATTGAATTTAATGGCCCACTTCTGGTTGGGCTTGGGCTTGGTTTCCGTATCTCGGATACTGAACTTGTGGCACAGTTGACATCAATGATGATAAGGGGGGAATCCATGTTTAATGTTAAATGGGGCCTCCGCCTCCCCTCAGCTCCCGGATGCAGTCGTGCACACCAGTCAGTCAGTGATGATGAGTTCGGAATCTGCTGACTCCATACTCACTCCCATGATGCTCCTGAGTCCTGATTGATTGATGTGTTAGACTGTTCACTACTTTAAGTAGTAGTGGCCGGTCATTTGCTTTACTTTCAAGTTCAACAGTAGGTAGCGATTCCAAACCTTTCAATGAATTTCAACTATATTCCTTGGTTCCTTGTTTGGGAAACATATCATATACGGTCTTAGGTCCACATGGTCCAGATAAGAAAGTCTCATCTTTATTTTTTCAGAGTCCAGATGAACTGCACTCTGCAACACCAGCCTTATCCTCTTTACATATGCTCTCCACAAGTTCTAAACATCAAACCGATATTAATTCAACAAAGTTTTAATTTGAATACATATCTTTACTGAAAAAGCCTATTGGATTTGGAATCTTTCTTTCTTTCTTTTTAATTTTTTCCCCTTAATTCTTTCTGAAACCACTGGAAATTAACCTAGCTAGTTTTGTTTCCGAGTTTAGTCATGTTGCTTATTTCATTGTAAATTTACCATATATATGGAGAACCTTTTACCTTCCAAAGCATATGCTCTTGATTGGCAATTAGTAAATTATCAGCTCCAACCTTTTCTACAATATGTGTGAGAATATGATGGGCTGGCTATATCCTGATGATCAGTTGTGTTGCCTCTAGCTAACACATACACAAATGAGAGGGAGAGAGCTAGCTCACTTCTGCATTTGTTGTCATCCAATTATGAGTCCAAAACAGAACTTTATCACAGTTTATCAACCACCTTGACACTTTCACTAACAGATATCCTATTTGCCCAACAATTAATTAGTACTGTGAAGATTTCTGGCTTTGAGCTGGAATAGAAAACAAAAAAAAAGGAAGTCGAGGTGCAAAGCCATGAGCATTGTTTGCTTCTTAAGCCCAAATTTTGGTTTTTTCACCCTAAGCTCAAATCTAATTTAGCACTCAAGATTTTAGAGGAAAGCCATTTAATTTCTGTCTTTGAAGAACAGTGCTGATGAAGAGACTGACCTTTAAAGGAAGGGCAGTCTCTGTAACATTTTTCTTCGAATACAACTGAAACCAAAACATTTCTCCTGGTCGAAGGAGGTACCTATATTTGCCGTAGATGTTCCATGGTGCGTGTCAATTACGTTGGATCCATATATATATAGTTCAGGTATAATGACTTTGGATGATTCTTATGTTCATAATTATTTGTTTATTTTGGCTAAGCAGTAAGCACTAAGGGGACGTCCCTCTTTTTGAAGGAATACTTTAGTCTATAATGGATTTAGTGTCAACACGGCTGAGCTATGGGGTACTGTAGTACGTGCGATCCCACAAAATTTTATGGTATCCCTTCATTTCAAATGCGTAGCTAGCTCATCGTTGAATCAAAGTCCTATATATGCTGATTGGAGAGCGAGAAAAGGTCTGCAGAAGAATCGAAACGTTAGGAATAATGAAAGGGTCGAGCAACAATAATGATATAAGATGAATCCCAAAATTAAGGATATCCGTGCACGCAATCCAATAAATTTCAGTTAATTGGAGTAACGCTGTTGTGCATGGGATCATCACTAGTAGTAAGTAGTCTTCTCCACTGCGAACGGAGAACCACTACTTTATATTACTTTTGCGCCTTTTGAAGCAATCTCCTGTTGCAAACTTGGCAGCACCAAAGTTAAAGGGAGAAAAGCAATAAAGAAATTCCTTCTATTTTTTCTGTACTTTAAGATGATGCATGTACTTGGTGGAGATTCCCCAATGACCCACTTCGCTTCACTCTATGTTTTGGGAATTAGGATGACGATTAATTCTTTGAATCCCCGGTGAATCTGCTCTTTGTTTTGGATTTTGGGTTTTGGGCTTAATTAATTTTCGTCGGCAGTTAGCTTCAGGCTTCAGCTAGCTAATCAATTCATCCCAACCCAATTATTAATGGATTTAGGGATGCCATTATCTTGGGTCATCACTCATCATCCAGATATCCCAATAATCGAATCACATATGGATCTCGATCGGAAAAGTACATCTTCGAATTTGAATCCACTGCACCCCCGGCCCACCAAGTAAAATGACCTGGTTAATTTATTACTTTAATCTAATGGGTATGGGTTGGATATCTGAAGTTAACTACCCCCCTAACTCCTCCATATCTTCCACGTGTACGTAGTAGCATAATGCATGACCAGAACTTAATTAATTAGAAGGCCCGGCCCAAGAGGGCAAGAGAGTTACTCCCTTCTTCGCCTTTATTATTTATGGGATAACAAACACAAACAGAGATCCCATAAGAGAAAAATATCAACTACACCCAAGAGGCCAAGAATTCCAGAAGAGATCGCCGATCACAAGAGAAGAAACTTGCATTGCTTTAATTTCTGGTACATCGATCTAATGCAATACGATTACAATTAATGCTTCTAACTAACTGTTCATTCAAGAGCTCTATATTAATTAATTATCTACTAATTAAAAAAGACAAGCAATATATATCTATATATCTATATATCTATATACTAGTCTTCGATCCCTAGCTAGCAATAACTAACACATGTAGGATCATGATGAGAGTGGCAAGAGACAACGTAACCATGCATCGATCAGCTACACCAATTAGTAGTAATAAATTTCATCTCATCTCATGCATAGTCTAAACTGAAACTGACACATCGCCCTCGTAACAATCAACGACAGCCACCCTTCTCTTTACGTTTTTGTAAGAATACCTTCTAGCTATGAAGACATAGACGCACAAGTTCACTGCTTGCATGACTACAAGCAACCAGTAAAAATTGTCCAAGCGGCTGTGGTTTAAATCCTTAGCAAACCAACTTCTTCCCTTCTTTTCCGTCAAAATATCAACCACAGTTATCAGTAGACTACTGAGGAAGTTTCCAGCTCCGATCACACTCAGGTAGAATGCTATTCCAAGACTTCGCATAGAATCAGGAACTTGGTCATAGAAGTACTCTTGCAAGCCAACCAGAGTAAACCCATCTCCTATGCCAATAATCACGAACTGCGGGGTTAGCCAGAAGACGCTCATTGACATCCCACCACCGGTTCCTCCTTGTACAATTTCTAGCCTCCTCCTCTCAACCAAGGCGGCAGCAACCATGGCTACACACGAAAACGCCATTCCGATGCCGATCCTCTGTAGTATCTTAATCCCTCTCTCGTTGCCTGTAGCCTTTCTCAGTGCAGGTTCCAGTATCTTTTCATAGACAGTCACAGAAACGATCATTCCTATAGCTGCCACAGAATAGATTGAAGCTGGAGGGATCTCAAAGCCATGACCAATCTTTCTGTTCATGCTACTTGCTTGTTTAATGAAAAATGTTGTGGCCTGTGCTACGCCTATTCCGAATGTCAAGGTGGCCAACCAAATTGGGATCATGTTGACCACTAACTTCACTTCCTCTACTTTGGTAACTGTGGATAGTTTCCATGAATTAGGTTGCTGGTTCTGAGTTAATGTGGTCCTGTTACCATCTTCAACGATTGCAGCTTTGTCAAGAAATCTGTGAATCCAAATAACAGAGATGCAATCAGCAGAGTGCGAGAAAAAGCTTGCTTTTTGGAAAACACAGACTGCTGTTGATGGAAATCCATTTACTTACCTAAGGTTATCGGTATGGAAAAGAAGCCTTCCTTGAGTTTTCTCCGACTTCGGAATCTCGTACAATTCAGAAGGATTGGAAGGATAAGGAAGATTTCTCTTGCTTATGGCTGCTACAAGTACCTGCAACATGGGTGTTAAGGGGCTCCCTTCGGGCACCTTATATCGGTAAAACGGCCTTCCAACGTAGAAGACTACAATTGTAATCGCCATGATCACAGTGAGAATAATATCTGCACTAGCCCAGCTAACGTTGTCTTGTACGTAAACGATCAGAGTTACACCGAGAACGAGACCGAAGCAAAGAGCAGAGTTCCACCAATTGAAGTAAGACATCTTCTTTTTTCTTTCTTCTGAATGATCATCATCAAACTGGTCAGCTCCAAAGCTCTCGAGTGAAGGCTTGTGACCTCCAGTTCCCACAGAGATCATGTACATGGAGATGAAAAAGATCACTTCATGAAGCCTTTTCGGATTACCACATGGATCTGCGTTGCAGGCCTTCAAGCTTGGTATGAGAACCGACATTGTCAAAAGGATCAGGCCCTGTTTCCAGCATCGACAGACACTTTAAAACCACTCAAATAGACTAGAGTCATAAAATAAACACCATGGCCGGAACACCCAAATAACCCAACTTTACTAATCACCAGAAAGGGTTAACCATGAAAAAGTCCGATTTGAACCGACCAATTAAGTCAAAGAGAACCAATTGACAATGAAGGGGATCTCCCTCCCCTAACTTTTGTTCTTCTTTTTTGTGCGTTTAAATTAAAGGTAAACTTTCATCACCTAGGTTGCCTAGTCAGTCTGCCAGTTGGACTGGATTGAACCAACTGGGCGATCAACCAACCGGGTCAACCTCGCTCCAATCCCAAATCTCTCTTGGAAATGCTGCTTTGATCTCTAGGCAGTTAATTAATACGGCATGCGAAGGAGTAAAGGAGATGAACTTACAAAGAGATATATGAAGGATGAAACCAATACAGTGGAGAATCTCCCCATGTACGCATCTGCGATGAATCCTCCTATCAAAGGCATCAGGGTTGTCACACCCGACCAGTAATTTACGTTCTTTGCTGCCGTTTCGAGATCTTGATGAAGCACCTTGGTGAGGTATATGATGAGATTTGTAGCAATTCCAAAGTAGCTCAACCTCTCACTGAACTCAATGGCTAGCCCAGAAAAATAAAAAGGACCAATTAACAAAGTTTAATATTTAGATTTAGAAATAGTTACAGAATACAAAACTTGATTTAGACAAAAAAGAAGCCAAGGATTATGTTGACAGTGTTAGCCAAACGAATTAGATACATCTCACTCAGGAACTCGTTCAATATCAGTTCTATTATGCTTAGTTTGAAAGGAGTACAAATACAAATATGTACAGTGCAAATACATACAAAATGATACAAAATACACTCTACATATTTGTATTTGTACTCCTTCCAAACTGAGTTAGCGGAAAATGATGTAATCCAATTACCAGAGTCCGAGCAGTAAACATGGTTATTTAGGCCTTTTAATTCTAAAAGTAGTGTAGGACTAAGGTTTGCCATTCTTTAGGATGGCCCACTGATCCATTAGACAGAATCAGTGCTTTTCCTTGCCCACTTGTGGTTGTATATAAAATTAACATTCCTCCCTTTCGAAAGAAGAGGAGATACCTACAATGTGGGGAATAACCGGATAAGATCTTGAAAACGATAGTAGGTTTTCGTGGTGGGGTTGGTGGTGGAAATCTCTCTCTCTCTCTCTCTCTCTCAGAAGTCTAGAGAACAATGAGATTAAAGGAGCTAATCTACGGAGCAAGCATCGATTCAGGAAATAGTTAGAGATGGGTTTGAAATAAATAGGACTACAATAAAATTTTCAGTCTTTAGCTATAAAGCCTTTAGTACTAGATCTGTACTCGTATAACTAAGTATTTCATCATTACCAGTACCTTGGCCAGCAAAGGGTTGTGAGTTCCGACAATTTTGGGTTAAGCTACAAAAGCCTTTTCTATCGCATCGCTCAGCCTAGGTTTTGTAGACATCAATTTTTAGTACAAATCCCGACCCTACTTTCAGGTGTTTATACCTTGTACCCCTAAGTTATGGCAGTAACAGTAACGCAAATGGAGCATCTGGAATTCAAAAAGTCAAAAATGGAGAGAGCTAATTTGGTTTCCATTGCAACTGAGTTCAGAAATTTAACATATAAATCAGATCTATTCTAGGAATGTTAACAAAAAATAAAATGGAGAGAGCTCAATTTGGATGATGAGGTATGGGTCCAAATGCAATGAAAATCTTAAAAGCATTCCATTAATGGCTGCTTACTATGAGTTCAACTAAGGACCAAAAAAAAAAAAAATCTTAATCAAGACAGATATTCATGGCTGCTTAGTCCAACTATTCTGCAGAGAAGAAGAAAAGTTAGTGGCTGCTTATTAGTCCAACTATTCTGGTTAGAATAGTTTAAGTAAGCAGTGAAACTGAAAGCATATATAACCAAATGTTAGTGGGTGAATCAATTTCCATATGATGATGAGTTGTTGATTATACCAACCCTTACCTATAATAAACAGAGCAGCTTTCCAAACACCAGTTGAAGCTCGGAGAGGAATTCTTCCCTTGTGATCCACAGACGAATCGTAAACCCATTTCTCCTCATCGACTTCTTCAGACTCTCCTGCTCTTCTTTTCTCCATTCCATTATCCATCTCTTACGACCCAGGTAACAGAGACAGTATTCTCACTAACCTAAGCTGAAAGGGAAAGGCAGAGACCGTATTAAGAGGATGGCTGGATGGGGGATGGATTCGTACTGCTTATATAGGAAGAATACCTTTATTTGGTCAATGTAAGTTTCCCTTTCTATCAGGGCGGAATTTTAGTTTAGAGTACTGAGAGAAAATTGGCTCGGCCATGATTGTTACAGAGAAAACTTTGTTTTCTTCCACTTAGGCCAGATGTCAGTCACCATTAAGGATAGTGAGGAATTGTATTCTTTGCCAACTTGGGTGATAGGGGGTTCTTTTCATGGTCCAAGGTCAAAAGATGATCGTATCGATATTTAGACATTACTACATAATCAACGTAGCTGTTGTCTTGCTTGAAGCATTTGAAATAAGTGAAAATGGTGTAACTGACAGCAACAACACACAATGTGCGTGTTTCCCTCTTTGTGTGTTCATACTTCATACAGGCTAAAATCTTCCGTGAATATCACGGAAAAAACAAAGTTCTTGGATAAATTACAGATTGCCACACTTACTAAAATGTTCATTCAAAATTCCACAGGATGAGCAAAGAAAATATCAAAATAACAAAAACGAGCATGTCGAAGCATTGTATCTTTTGCTGTATTTTTAGTTTTTTTTTTTTTATTATTGCAAATCTATAGTGTTTTTCTTTGTATTTTCGTTTTTTACTTTATTGTATTTTCTGTAATTTTATGTTTTTCTATTGTATTTTCCTCTTTTAATTTTCTTTATTTTTGTTGTATTTCCTATATTTTATACAATTTCCTACTTTTGTTTTATTTTACATTTTTTGTTGTATTTTATCAATTTTCAACAAAATTGTCTCATGAAAATATTTTTTGAAATTATTGGATAGAATGCTAATGGTGCGGCAAAGTGTTGGAATCTATAAGTTCATGGTGGGTCTTTATCACAAATGAAAATTCCAGATACTAAGTATCACTACCCTCAAAGTACAGGGTGACGGTTTGTAATTTATCAAAAGTTCTTTTCTTTATTTTTCTTCTCGGGTGCTTGAGGGGGAATCATTAATTGTCATTTATCAAAGCACGCAGCATGTAATTTTGATAATTCTTCGATGATAATGTTGTTGATACTTGGTGATACTGTGTATTGTGAGCCTGGATGTCCCGCAAGTAAAAAACTTTAATACATGTTTGTTAAATTCACAGGGAGATGTTATCAATGATGCATATACTTTTAGAGTATGTACAGAGATTTTAATTGCAGGAGATACCGTTGCATGTGTTTTTGTATAAAGGTGTATGAGTAATAGTAGTAGTAGGAAGGTTCAAAGTATCGATACTATTGATTCATATGTATCGTGCCAATGGCTTCTTGATACACCCTTCCAAGGATTGTATCGAGTTAGACCATGATTCAGAGGGTAACCTGGCCTTAAACAGATCCCTCTGAACCGATTTTGAAAAGAACAAATAAAACTTAAAAAAAAAGAAATACCGATACAGGCCAATACATTGAACCTTGATAGTAGTAGTACTTCTCTCTTATGATATATATATGGTCCCAGAAAAAGCTATTTGAATTATCAATAGCTGCGCTGGCTGTGCATAAGATGACTCAAATGCACGAAACCTTTTGGGCCATATGTCTCCTTATAAGGGTGCCTCAAGTAGGACAATGTCCACATACCAAACATCAAGTTGATTAAAGGATGGTTAGATGATTTGTATCTATTTGATCCTTTTATTTTGGACTTAGCGTTAATGGTTGTCTTGTAAACCTTGCTTTGAGATAAACATGCATGGCTGAAATCATCGGAATATATATATACATATATGGTGAGTTCTGGCCATGGTGATCTCTTATTTGGGATCCATTAATTTACCGGTGGTGGTGGGTGGTGGGTGGCAACACTTTGTGTCAATCAAAGAGTTATGTTTCGATCACGAGTTTAATGCTTGCATTTACTATTTTCTTTCTAGCTATATGAATGCAGTGGAGTTAGTGCTTAGTCAGTGAGAGGGTGCACATGTTTTTATGTTGTAAATTTTTGCGTGGATGATTAAGTTGGACTTTGTTTTAGGCAGGATAAGTTGATCACATGACATCTTGGTTGTGACCAGCTATGCCGGCCAATATGCAAATATGCAATGCTTCTTAAAGCATAAATTGAACTTCACTATTGACTATAACCTATCCACTACCACCACCACCATCAGCTATGAATGAAAACCATTAAAGACGCCTTGGTTCTTGCGAAAAGGTTGCTCCCAGCCTTCATCCCACGTCACCTGTAATTGCAGACAGTGCTCGGTACTAGGTTGCATCCTTTCCATTTGTTTTAGAGCTTTGGAATTTTAAAATGTCTAGGGTGGTCTTTTCGCACAGAATACAAGGCATATTTTTTATTATATAGTTAAATTGCAGATTAATATCTTGTATTTTGAGACTATTTTTACTATACTACCAGCTTTTCAAAACCTGCTATTATAACACTTAAAACTCTTAAAAACTATCCATTTAGTATTTTAGATGGCATGGGAAATAGTACAAATAAATACCTTTGAGTTTTGAATAGGTATCAGAAGTATAATTTTGAAATGGCCAAAATAGCCGTGTTTAAATCCCTTTTTCACTATTATTTGATCATTTTATGCCCTAACCTTTTCTTCCTGTTGATGAAGCTATATGAAAAAACATTAATGCCAGAGAGGACGATGTCGTTGTTGGGGAAGAGGGGATTAGACTCTTGTTATTGCAATCTTTCTTTTTTTTTTTTTTTAATTACTCAATCCATAACGAAGAGGGGCTTAGATTGTTATTGTTGCCAAAGAAGCCAAAGAAGACAAGTAATTCCTGTTGTCGTCAGGGAAGAAGATCAAGGTAAAAGGGTTTAAAAAATACTAAAAAGGGTAGTTTTTGTATTTTCAAATTTAAGTTGTACATGTCGTTATGTATACAGATAGCTAATGAATTGCTAACGATAGATACTAAATTTGCAATTTCCAACAGCTTAGATACTCCAATGACATATTTTGAAGTTTGAGTACTAAAGTGAGATTAATCCCAAAGTATAGAATACTAGTCTGCAATTATTTTACCCTTATTATATACATAAGATGCCATTAAGCACCAGATAATAAGATATTTGTAGTGCTGGTTGTAGAAAAAACATTTAAAAGGTGTTTCTAAAAGTAATTTTCATGTAACGGGAGGTGAATGGTGGTATAAATATATGTATATATTTTTTTGCTCCATAGGGCAATAATGTTGTTTATACTTTAATAAATCCAATTAAATAACGCCTATATCTCACTTAGATGGGAGTGTAGAGCTTCCATCTTTTGCTTTTGAATCCCGTATGAGTCTGGGTCGTCACTGCTGAAACTTTGGATCCCAAAAATAAAGAGTGAAGCTGCGTTTTATATGATGTTTATTATTACATGTGAGGAGAGGAAACTGATGAGGAATTAATAAGGTACAGCTGAGCTGAAAGATTGAAAAGTGGCAAGTTGAACTGCACCAAACCCATAAACTTGATTCTACATCTTTTATTGGAAAAGATCAAGGGTGCATGGTGTGTCCAATCGTAATTATGATCGTCATTGATTGATGGTTTGACGCCGGCCATTCCCACCTAAAATGGTGTGGGAATTGGGAGGCCTAAGCTAAGGGCTGAATCACCATTAAGCAGGCAAATCGAACCCTAGCTATAAGGCCAGAGGAATCCCGGTTGCGGAGCATTACAATTTACAAGCACCCAAATGCTTGTTCCTTTGCTTTGATTGTTGTAAAGGAAGTTGGTATCTCCAATTAAGAAGTAAGTGCTTTTTCCCTAACTTTTATCTATTCTGTCTCTCTTTCTCAGTGACGCATTATCGTTTGTTTATACTTGGCACAAATTCATCAACATTTTCACTTGATTCAGTGAAAAAGGGTATCGATCTGGAGCTGTCAATCTAGATCCAACATTCTCTCAGTACGATTCATACTTACCATAATTAATTTAAGCGCGGTGCATGTAAGTACTATACATGTGGTATCTAGGTGAGAATAGGTGGAAACTATATATATATATATATATATATATATTATTAACTGTGATAATGTTGTTTTTTAAGCACTCATTTGATAATGGGTCACAGGTCCATTCCAACTTGATTTCTTTGAAAATTAAATCAGAAAAAAAAAAAGCGACAATCATTGCTATGCTTAGTGGGCCATTTTCTGATACCGGAGCTAATTAATCCACGTGTTTAATTCCTTAGTCAACTATTTCCTTAATCATAAATTAAAAGGGATTCAGCCACTTTAGAATTCTTAGTCCTATTGTACCGTACAGTGGGATGAATTCTCACCGTGGATTGATACTAAATTGATGGGCAGAATACAGTTTAAGGGGGGGANGGGGGGCTACTAATAGACTATAGGGATTCTGAAATTTTCACAAGTGGGCTGTAGTATACTTTTCCCTTGAATTAAAATACAGTTATCCACCTCAACCTGGTTCACAGTTTTTCAATGCCCTTAGATTTTTCTTGGATTATTTGAATTAAATATTAAAAAATAAAACATGGGGCATTTTGATTTTTTTAAAAGGAATTATTTAAATTCAACCACAATTAATTCATTTTCCTTTTACTAGGAAACTGAGTGTACTCAAGCATGTAGCTATTTAATAAAATCAGACATGGGAAATTGGACTAGTTACATTTATTTTCCTCAATGAATTCAGTTCCTAGAGTTAAACGTGGACATCTTTTTAACATCAGCATGTGCATCAAATGGGTCTCTCTGATTGTCAGTGAATTTAAATGGACCCATTTTGATTTTTTTTTTTTTTATTCAAAACATAACAAATTCCTAAGGGGCCGGGTTAGAAATAAATATGAAGTAAGCTGACGAGGACAACTGTGCTTTAAATAGATAGAGTATTTTATTTTGTTTTTTGGGTGGGGAATATAAAGAATAGATGGAAATAGATGCAGCAAAATTCAACCCAAACGCCGTGAAAGAAAATCTCCAAGTATTGACTTCAAACCTTAATCATAAACTACAATTTGATAACAATGTAAGCTCAGTTCCTAGCCTCATGTAGTTTTGGAGAGATAGGACCTATCAATTGAGGCTGTAATGGCTGTGACTA